CATACTCACCCTTGACTGTTTTTGCAAATAATTTCTGGTGATAAAGCTATTGAACGCATTGATCTCTGAGACTTATTTAAACATCAGACTGCATCTAATTTTACAGATGTAAGTCTGTACGTTCCTGCTTGCGCGCCAAAGTTTAAGTTTAATTTGGCATCTGCAAGGTGGTATAGAAAGATTGGTTGTCGTAGTCAGGTTATATCAGACTGTAATTGAAGTCCTTGTGTAGGCATGCAGACGAGTGCCCGGACAAATTTCTAAAGGTTTTTAAGTACTTTGGTAGTATCTTATTACAAAATGGCTGCGGCTTAATTTCTGTTATCTAGCTGAATTTATGGTTATCCTCTTGTAGTACGGTCAATTTAAATATTGTTTGATATCACCGAGTATTTTGCAGAACCTTCCCTCGCATGAGTTATCATACTTTATACGAACATGTAGGTTGATTTTTTTCTCTGTTATAATGTAACTGATTTTGTTGTTTAACGTGTATGAATCGTTTTCCTGAATGTGTCGTTGTATATGACATACCTGCCTAAACTTTTGGACCTGAAATCCTGAAAGTTCTTTTCCGGTTCCGGTTTTCATCCAGTGATTTGATAGGACTAAAACTATTTTTGGTAAGAAATAAATGCCGATATATCAATCATAACTATTTGTTTTTGTGATTTTTAGTAATAAAACAAAATGGCCAGTTGTATGTACAGGAAATCCAAAGTCGCCTCCAAATATCGATATGGGGTATTTAATGGGTAATAGGGTGATAAAAAAATTAATCCAATGAAATTTATTATTATAAACACACGTTACAAGTTAGACGGTATTCACAATTTGGGAACCTGAAATCCTGAGATTTTTTAAAATACAGATTACAAGATTTCGAGAGGGATCTAAAAACTCAGAGAATCCCGCTTTTATCTAGGCCTAATATGAACTTTATATCGAAGAAGTACTGATATACAGTATGCTTGTATGTTAACATCAATATAATTTTCTCAATATGCATGCTTGGAAAAGCCTGTATTTTTCACTAGGTACTTATTAATATACAGACCATTGCATGTCATAGTTGTCCCTATTGCACTTAACATAGCCAAAATTATTTTCCAAATCAAACTTTATAATTAAAAATGCTTCAATAGAAAAAGAAATAATTGGGTCATTAAATCATCTGCCTGTCTGTCAATAATCCCATGCAAGAATCTGTCCTGGTTGTGTACAAAATGAACAAGATTATGATATATACTCTTAATCGCATATAGAAAGATACGAAGAAAGATATTTGGGGATTTTTTTTTTGGCACGGTCCCGATTTGTGTTAGTTATTGTTTCTATTGCATTCTTGCAGAAACAGCATTTAGTATTTGTTACTATTCCAATTGTACTAAGAAGAAATTGCTTGTAACCAAAACTTTCTGTAAGCAATAGACCATTCTTAGAATGTATTTATGTGACCCTGGGTCAAATCCAAAACGAGGCTAAGCTAGGAACCAACTTATAGATTTAGATTTGTTAGAACCAGGGTATCAAATTATGGCAGATAAAGGTTTTAATAAACAAATAAACAGAACCCATTTATAAAATGACATTTTCTAAAACTGTTTAGACATGATTCTTACCTATTTTTTTTACTTTATTTAATATCTAAATATACATATTGGGTGTTAAAATTCATCCATCTACCAACTCCATACAAATAATAATTATAATCAGTGAAGTTCAGATAAATATGGGACCAATTTGTGTGCTTGGGGGCAGGGTGCATATATATATATATATATATATATATATATATATATATATATATATATATATATATATAGATGCAATAAACTGACGACGAACAGTACGAAACTAGTAACTAACTAGCCTAAGCGCTTTCGACTCTTAATGAGTCTTTTTCAAGTCAAATACAAAACATAGTTACGACAAACAAATAAACACAAAAACGTTGCGTTTGTAAACCTCTACATTTCTATCTTCACATGTGCTAAAACTATAAATACAACCAGCTTGTATAGACTAGTTGCGGAAACTGAAAACGTTGTATAATTCCCTAAAAGTCTACAAGCCAAAGCGACATCTATTTTAACTTTGTGTACATATGTAACGCAGATTATATCCCGGATATTTGGTTCTATACAGGTTATTCTTATAGTAAAAATTGAAGGATAAGAAGATTTAGAAAATGTTAAATTCTACTAGTGCATAGGTTTCATTTTCTAGTCTTCTTGGTTTAGACCGCATGGTTTCAATGTTCTAAGTCGGGACATCCAGTATGATTCCTTTTCCTTCCTGGTTTCGGAACTCCAGCTGTGGTTATTGGCAATAGCGATAAGTATTATATCACTGAAAGTGTGGCCAGGGGAGGAGAAGTGTTCTGCGACCGGGCTTCTGTACAGCTTTTTTGTCATCCAATCAGATCTATGAAGGTTTATCCTTATGTGTAGCTTTTCAGTTTCTCCCACGTACTGAAGGCCACAGATCTTACATGTGATGAGATAAATCACATTCTCTGTTTTGCACGTTTTGTTTGGACCATGTATGTTTAGTTTTTCTTTAGTCACTGTGCTAGTGAATGTCTTGGTCTCTATCATATGTTGACAGGTTTTGCATCTTTTATCGCCACAGGGTCCAGATTGACTAGGTTGGTTTTGACTAGCGATTGTTGTTATATATATATATATATATATATATATATATATATATATATATATATATATATATATATATATATATATATATATATATATATATATATTAACGGCATTCAAGCAGCTTTGAACCAATAATCCTGCTGTTTTGTGGGTAGATATATAACTGCCAGTCTGTTATTGAAATAAAAAATGAGTTTGTATAAATAAAATCGTATATCCATATTGTCAGTTGACCAATGATTCAGAAAAGAAAAAATATGTCATTTAAAGGGAAAATTCCAGTCCCTCGTACCCTCAGGCACCAAACGCAGCAAGCACCATAAAAGCAACTAGGCTGTGTACAAATTACAATGCAAGCATACCGACATGTACCCAAAACTATTTTAAGCACACCATAAAGTCTCTACTGGTTTTGGGGACGTTTTTGGTTAAAAAGGCAGTCTGTGTCACTATGCACATTTTGTAAATATTTTATTCTGACCGTGTGTTTTGCCCACAGTGATGATTAATCATAGAAGTACATTTAAACCTTACCTAATCAGAAACAAAATTCATGCTTTAAATAGTCTCTTTTCTCATTCATTAACTTGTATTATGTGTGCTGTTCAGTAAAAGGACACTGAGAAAGATAGAACGTAAATCAACTTACGTTTTAGAGAATGGACATATCAAGTAAGTTTTCGTTAATATAATATATGTAGCGATAATTCTATAAAACATTCTTACGCAAAAGGAAGGAATCTCTATAAAATACATTACATCAGGGTTGCACACACCTTTTCAGCATGTGATCTCTTTAAAAAAATTGACGAAGCCAAAATGATCTACCTACCTCAAAAATACATAACATATATATGCTGACCTCTATTGTTTTAATGTTACGTGATCTGCTCACCCTACCTTCGCGATCGAACGGTCAATCGCGATCGACGTATTGTGAACCCCTGCATTACATTCATTACAGCCGCTATCAGTATAATATATTATCTTGCAAAATGAATCTACGTAATATATCATATGTTTTATAGTTGCATCTGCCTAGCTTAGCCTCGTTTTCGTAAGACATTAAAATTCATGAGGATCTCATTAAGAATGGTCTATATCCCATATTCTCTAATTACAGGCTCCATTTAAATTTCGATGCAGTCTCTCGTATACATGTAATAATCCTATTTGGTATACATAAAAATAATTAATTCCCTTTAGGTATATATGTAATGACCCCTTTGGTATGTATGTAATGACGCCCTTATGCTTTGGCATATACATAATAACCCCCTTAGGTATGTATGCAATGGCCTTCCTTGGAATGTTAGTAATGACCACTTTAGGCATAGATTTAATGACATCCTAAGATATATATATTTATATATATATATATATATATATATATATATATATATATATATATATATATATATATATATATATATAGATAGATATAGATATAGATATAGATATATATATATATATATATATATATATATATATATATATATATATATATGTGTGTGTGTGTGTGTCTATTATATATGTGTATTGTATATATATATATATATATATATATATATATATATATATATATATAAATATACATATATACATATAGATATATACATATATATATATATACATATATATATATATATATATATATATATATATATATATATATATATATACACATACATACATACATACATACATACATACATACATACATACATACATACATACATACATACATACATACATACATACATACATACATACATACATACATACATACATACATACATACATACATACATACATATCAGAGAATTCAATGCAATCAAATAATCGCATATATAAGCTTGATGTAGGTTCCTGAAGAGAAATAATTTCTCTTTGTCCTATGTGTCAAGGCAGATTCTTTTTATTTACCGAGGAGTACGCTTCCAGGCAGATAATATGTCTTTCTAATTGTGAGCAAATGTTTTTAACATAAAAATTCTGTTGGCATTTTCATTGATTATACACTATCCTTTGACAACATCAACGACTGAGCATACATATTTCGATACATACATGCATCTAGATGCATACAATGATATTGTGTGTGGGTGGGTGTGATTTGGATTTTAATATAGCTTAAACAATTTTTCAGTCATATCTCTACGATGTGTGCAGTGTGGAAGTTTATTGTGATGTCTAGCACTGGGATATCATGCCGCCGAAACGCAGCACGATGTCCCACCCAGTCACATTATCATGACACCAGGCCGGCCAGTCCTAACACTAACCTCTTAATGCTGAGCCACAAATGAGTCAGCTGTTAGAACCATTTTTTGAAATCTTTGGATCGGCCGTGGATCGAACCCACGACCTGCTGCATCCTAGGCGGACGCTCAAACCACTAGGCCACCGGAGCGGTCTTAACGATACATACTCACACACACACACACACACACACACACACACACACACACACGAGCGCGCGCGCGCGCGCGTTCCTATGCTCATGTGAACAAAGTTAACGACTATACTACATTTGCCCCCACAAAGATCAAGTATAGCAGCTCCTATAAAGTATGTGCAGCAAACCTTCTTTAGTGTTGCGAGGCATTGATGCCAATTATAAGGGTCTAAAAAATGTTTAAATCTCAAAATTTAATAAAAACAAGTACTGAATCATTTTTATAATATTTATGCTGACCCTAATAAGTGATTTTTCTTGCAAAGATTTGGAAAAAGTTATTAAAAGATCAGAAATCATGTTTATTTGGTATGCTTAAGAAGTGTTTATTGTCAACAACTTGGAAATGATGGGCTCCGCCTTGATGCAGCTGCCAGTAATGATTAAGGGATGACGAAATTATCATTGAGAGTATTCTTATACCGTATCAGTCGCAGCTATAGTTACCATTGGCCGCGCCATCGCTGGACACCCGGATGAAGATTATACGTATGCAGTTAAAGTCGATGTACAGGCAAGAGATAACATCACCATTGCAACGTAAAATCTCGGTACATTAAGACCAGCAAGGAAACTCGAAGGCAAATACCCATGGCCCAGAATCGTGCAGAAGAAACCAACCTAGACTCCTTGATCACCATCTTCAACACGCAGTAATAAACACAGCCAGTGGGATTTTTGGCAAAAGTCTTAAGATCACGAACCCATGGGTCTCGGCAGATATATTCGAACTCTTTTATATTAGAAGGAGGAAGGAGACATTGAAAGAACAGAACAATAGAGGGGAACAGAACAATAGAGGGAGATTAATAACAGGATTAAAAAGAACTTAAAGGAAGCGAAGGAAAGCTGGTTAGTGGACCAATGAAAGGAAGTTGCGATAAACCTGAACGAGAATAACAGTAAAAAGATATAACAGTTGTTGAAACAGTTGACAACAGAGGAACAATGGCGATCTGCTTCGATCATCCAGGAGAAGCCTGGTAAGAATTTCAAATAAGATCAAGAGACTTTTAACAAAAGGACGGAATACTGTTCAGAGCTTTACAACCTCGATGCTTCCAGAGACCAAGCTATACTAAACTTCCCAATGACCACAACACATGATGACCACCCGATCCTCAGGGACGAAATGGAGGTTTTATTAAAGGCACTAAAGAAAGGGCAGTCAGCTGAGATAGATAATATACCAGCAAAACGTTTTCGAGCAGGAGGAACCTCCATGATAGATGTTCCCACAACAATCTGCAAACAAAATCTGCTAACAGAAGAATGGCATACACCATGGACCCATCCACTGATCGTCGTTCTTCATAAGAAAGGAATATGGAGCTGGGCTAAAACTACCAAACATTACGCTTCATCAGTCACTCAAGCAACGTTATTTTCTAAGATCATTCTTAACATACTTAAACCTCTATCACAGCACATAATTCCTCCAGAACAGACAGGTTTCAGAGCAGGACATATCACTACAGAACAAGGTGTACATCATGGATTTTTTCACATCGACGTTTTTCTTAAAGTGGCAGCTCACATATTTTGGGCCAATGGTGTCATAGGTGTTCTGTAATTTAAGCTCCGTCAACGGGGACTGTTATAAACACCACCAATATGTGCTTTTAATAACGTTATTCTAAACATGCTTTATTTATATCAACTCTAAGCAATAAATGATTAACTTCAGCAGACTTAAATACAATTTATTGAAAACTGTATACAGTTCGAACAAAACAGAAATGCCCTTGCCTGGTGAACTTAGTTTTTCAGTTCTTCATAATTTTCAAACATATTTGGCCTTTTGGAAACCTGCAAAAGAGTCATTAAAAGCACAGCTTAATAAGCATTGTATACATGTGATGGAAGAATAAGTATCTATTAGATTAAAGAGACTGGCTCTATCTTTCAAGTTTAAAATAGACTAGTGTTCTAAAATATCATAAATCTCTTCCAATACTCTGTATATTGATTACACAGAAAACAAGGAACAAATATAAATTTGTGGCATAATTTCAACTATTAAACTTGTTTTCTCGTTTCATTAATTCTTTCTTCTTCACTTCTTTTCACTTCATTAAAATATACTAAAAACTATGAATAATAACAGATCTCACAAACAGTAAAAGCTAAACATTGAAAACCAAGCTGATGATATATATTTTTATTGTGTTTTGATTTTTAATTGGAGCACACGAATAAATGGCACGCACGTGAATTTCATATTAATATATCGACCGAACTAAACGTAAACGAGGAACGTTTAACGAAGGATATTGTACTTACTATCAAGGTATATACAACGAAGAGAGAATATTATAGAGTATGCAGCATACATGTAAATGTATGTGTATGTGTATGCGTGTGTGTGTGTGTGTGTGTGAGAGAGAGAGAGAGAGAGCAAATCACATATTTCTGAAACAAAACATATTTGCTTAATTGTGAATTTTAAAAAAATTGCTTGTTTTACCTTTTGAGCTATGGCAAATATAATTAAGTTGATGAAAGACCCAATTGCAAAAATCCAAAAGGTGACTCTGGCGCCGTAGTTTTGCACAAGTACGCCTCCAATTAAAAACCCTGACCCGGCTCCTACGTCGAAGATACATAAATCAATCAATCAATTGACTAATAAACCAAAGAAATAAATAAATAAGCAATTAAAACGCAAACAAAAATCATTTATCTTAGCTAAAGTCAGGTAGATCTTGAGAAAATTACAATAACATCATTCTACTGAGAGAACGAATAATTGTGTATGTATTGAGTTTAACGTTACAGCAACACAATCCTGGATATACCTCGTGGAGAAAACTAAGGTTTCAATACAAAAAAGGATGCTAAACAAGCATAAATGCAAATATTAACGCATTCATAATATTACAAAGTCATAATATTTTATATAAATGTTTTATTTAAAAAAAAATACCAAGGCCTTTCCCAGCTGGAACATTATGAGACACATCCTAGGGCAATAGGTATAATTATTTGAGTCGCTTCGTACGCCACACAGCAGGGCGTATCGGGTTTATTCTACAGCCAGAAATCACAGGTAGTAGAAGAAACTAGTGATCTATGGTGAAAGAAATGGTGTCGTATGATGCTTATGATTAACGTTGGCCAATCTTACAAATTTTCATTTAATAATCGCAAAGTATCATTTAACAGATACATTGTCTTATATTGTTTTAAACAAATACTGGTGGTACTGTGCGACCCTAAATTAAACACAGGATGTTAACAATGTCTAATAAATTTACTTAGTTTAAATACTCTTTTACAACGTCTGCTCGCAGGACTAAGTGTGACATTTATGTATTATGAAAAAATAAACAAATACTCATTCCAGAAAATATAAAGGCCGGGTTTATAAGGATACATCTCCAAATGCAGATTCTTGCATGACTGGCCGCATTAGCAATCCAAATATGTCAGGTGTATCCTATATGAAAACCTCTTTTTAAATAATTTATGTGCCATTTGTAATCTTATCTGTAAACAGTTTGTGCAAATATCAAAAAGCAAGATAGAGAAATGTAAGATGTGACTTTGTTTTCTAGTAATGAAATATGTGCATTGTGATATTCTAAAAGTAAAGAAAGCGAAAAAGGAACAAGATTAAAATTCGATACCTCTGACATATGATTTTTTTATCTCTTATATTAAGCTAATCAGAGCACATGTATACATCTACAGGTAAACATTTATAATCATGGGCGCCCGTTGAATCTTTATCATCGGGGGAAGGGTGGGTGGAAAACATGTAGTGGTCATCTATTATGTTTTACGGCTGTAGCTCAAAACATGTTTAGAGGTTAAATTCAGGAGGGGAGGGGACAAGTGCCATCCCACCACACCCGCCACTATGTACGGGCGTCCATGTTTATAAACTATATTAAGATAATTAGTATTTCTAAATTGTGTGGAGGTGCTCATTTTGGCGCTATGGTAAACCTTTTGTTATGAGGGAAAGAAAAACCCAATATAAACCTAACAATGAGCTGAAAGACTCATTCAATAATTTATAGCTGCATTTCACTCTCTTTGCACATATTGAAAATTCTGATTCAAGAAAACATCTCCAAAGATTATCAAAATAAATCTGGGCAGTTCCAAACCAAGCTCCTTTTACATTCCGTTATATGCCCATTTTGTTCAGCATAATCCTTATTTGCTTGGGACCATTAAAGGCAGAATATCTTGTATGGTCAATTTTAACGGAACAACTATGTTAATTTTCCATTATTCAATATGTTTTGTCTTGAGCAGAAGCGCTTTAACATGCGTACAAATAATCCGGTAAGATAACGAATGGGATACAGTTTTTTTTAGAACATCGGACTACACGTGAATCTGTTGTTTTCGTGCACAATGAAGTAACGGTAAGGCAGTAATCGTAGACAGCACATTTGTTAAAATAACTTGTGCTAAGTTCACTGTTTTCCCATCGTTATGTATATCTAAAGTTTGCATTGTTTGTAAGGTTAGAACTGTATGTTTTAAATTATGCTGTGGGTAATGAAACATAGTATATAGTGGCCGACCTTGTCCAAAATCAGTGTCAGTTTTGGTAAACAACTTTTTTTTCTCGTTATCTTAAGCTGAGCCAAGAACATTGTATTTTTATAGAGCTATACTTGACTACGTGATTTTTGTTACATGCCATACGGCAAAAAATTTTATATGCCTTCTAAAACAATAAACTTTAAATCCTCAACCGGTTCTTTTTCCTCTATGTGGCATATAACTGGTGTCTTTTTTCTATCTGTATTATTGTAGTTTCCAGCAGTTCAATTATGATGGAGTTTATTTCTTAAAACTAATCAAGTGTTTTTTCTTTGCTCTTAAAAACTATTCTTTAACAGAGATATTCACTTGGATTAATAAAGAATTAAAACCTGGAATTATATTACCGTGTTTCAACAAAAGATTTCTGGTACAACAACTAGTTTCACGGC